AAGATAAATGAATCCCTGAAAAGGTTTGCATAAATCCATTTTAAGTGGAGTTTTAGAGGCACTGGGAGATCGTGTTTGTGATTCCATCATGAATGTTTTGGAGTTTGTTTATAGGCCCTCATGTTGGATAGTTCTAGAATTTCCCTGGTTATATGTGAGAAATGGGTGATTAAATGTCAATATTTAAATAATTATCCAGATTTGTGATGGTATAAAAATTAAGTATAAAATTCTCTGTTCTCATTTTGATGGACTAGTGAATTTTGACACATCCAGTTTTAGTACAGAACCCGATGCTATGGATGAAAAAGTTGGCATTACTGAGGTTGGAGACAAAAGGGTTATAGAAGACCCAAAGTGAACATTTCATCTCTAGGATTAGTCGAACTGACAATTCCTGCTTGAGTAGCGTGTTTCCCTTGGTGTGGTTTATCCTTGCTTCGACCCCAGTCATCCTGAGGTTATGGAGTTATACCATGTGTATAACTGGCTTGGTTTATTAATCCCACAGGTGGAGACGATGCAACTAATTTGATATTTATTGAGCACCCACAATGTGACAGTATAGGCTCCAGCCTGACAAGCTTCACACAGTGACTCAGTAGCAGATGCAGCTTACATGTGTAGCAAAGACATCAATGCACAGAGCTAAACCAGTTAGGGACCTGCCTTGGGGAATGAAGGCACTCCTAACCTCTAGTCTGTGAGAAGTGCATTCTGTGTTCACTCCCACTTCTAACCTAGCTACTCTCTTGCCTAGATCCCTTGAGGTCAGTTCCATGTAGGCATTTGAAAGGTGGCTAGGTGTTCAAGAAGGTTTGCATACATTCATTTTAAGTGGCATTTTAGAGGTACTGGGAAATCCACAGGACAGAGGTGGTTGACTAGCCAATAGACCTGGAATTTAGCTTAGATAAAGAAGCAGACGGAAAATCCACAAGAACAGAAAATTCAGAAAGGTTCCATCACTGACATATTGTTAACCTCAGCAACTCTCAGTTGCTATTTCCAGGTAACTGTTGCCAACACATATTGAAACATTCCTCTGCTGATTTAGTGAGATAAATCTATTGATTGGCTGCCAAAAGTAAGACCTGGTGACACTACTTGCAAAGAGGATTACAGAACCTTCTGACAGGCTTGGGAAGGGTGCCTGCCAAGAAGCAGGCTGGCTCAGTTCCCAGCTTTCCTGCCTGTTTGACTCCTTGCAGGGTACACATCTCTGATGCTTGATATTAACCAAAGCGAATTATTGTCAGATGCCACATGACAACATTTCAGTCAACAATAGACCACATAAGTATATGATAGGGGACCATACAAATTACAGTAGGTTATACCATGTATTAGGTCATCTGCAAAGTCATGTTGTATTTTTCCGGTTGTTTGTTTGTTCGTTTGTTTGTTCTAGGCAAAAATGTGTCAGAACTTTTCTGACAATCCAGCAGTCTAGGTGTTGAGTAGGCTATACCCTCTAGGTTTCTGTAAGTACACTCTATGATGTTCACACGATGACAGAATCACTGGACAATGCATTTCTCAGAACATATCCCCATCATTAAGTGGCACAGGACTAAAATAATATTTTTTTGGCGGGGGAGAGATTTTTGCTATAGCGTGTGTGTGCTCATCAGACGGAGAGAGAGAGAGAGAGACAGAAAATGAGAAATCACACACACACACAAAGACACACACACACACACCCAGGGGGATGGCCATGCCACAGTCCCTTCTCCATTCTCCTCTCGGGACTTTGGGCATGCACACACACACACACCCAGCTTGAGTTTCAAGCTACCAGGTCTGGGGCTCGAACTATCAGCCTTGTGGGAGTCCAGCACCTTAACCACCACACTACCTGCTGCTCCTGAAAATAATATTTTATATCTACAATCCAATGTAAATTTCCAATGGGACTTGCCTCTGAGAAATTTTTTTTCACAAACTAGTCAAATAGATTTCAGATAGGATAGGAATGAATTAGTTTCTGTTCAGTTGCTAATTTTCACAATCTGTAAAGAAGTTGATGAAAAGCATAATTCTCAAACCTCTGTAGCCACTCCATAAAATCTACAACTGTCTAAAATATTAAGTTGTAGGCATGACAGAAATTGGTAACAATTTTTTAAATAGCTAATGAGGACATTTTCTTTTTGCAATTGACACAGATTTAAATCAAGCTAACCAGGAAAACATTAATTTTTTTAATCACTCTGACAGCCAAGATTTGAAGTCATTCCTGGTGTATAACTTCATAATGCAATTGACCTTAAGTTGAATGATTTTTCTAATCAGTTTAGATAGGACTTGAGCCAACCCTGCGGCCTAGTAGTTAAGGAAGCTAGATCTCACATGGCCAATACTGAGGTTTGAATCCTGACCCTGGAGGCTTGAGAAACACACAGGGTGTGTATGTCTGTGTGCCCAAAATCCCAGCATGATGGAGGAATGGAGAAGGGATCATAGCAGGCAACACTCCACTAGGGGATGTTTTCTTCCTCTCCTTCTCAGTCTCTCTGTCTCTCCCTAGCAAGTGTACATGCTCGCTGGCAAAATTTTGTTTTAAAGCTTAGATAGAACTCATACAGTGATGCACACATGATCAATCAATGTGATTGATCAGGTATTCTCTAAAGACTAAAAGAGTCAATGCCATCTAATGCACCATCAAATTTGACCCTAAATTCTTTTTTTTTTTTAAATTTGCTAGCAGACACATGCACTCGAGAGAGAGAAAGAAAGAGAAAGAAAGCACTCCCCAGGGAGAGTGGTTATACCACAATCCCTTCCCATCCATTTCCCTTTGGGGATTTTGGGCACACACACATATACCCAGCCTATTTTTCAAGCCACTGGGTTCTGGGACTCAAACTGTGAAGTCTGCCATGGGGCATTCAGCCACCTTAACCAGCACAGCACCAGCTGGCCCCAACTCCAAGTTCTTAACACCTTTGGTAGGTTCAATTGAACCTTCAATCACGTATTTCTCCAATTCATTAGAAGAGAAATCATTATTAAGGTGCCCAACATTAGATGCACATTAAAACCACCTAAAGTGCTTTGAAAATGCTGATGTCTGGGTCCCATCTCAAAGCAATTAGACTCTCTAGGAGTAGGGTCTAGAAAAGTGTTTAAAATCACCTGAAAACTTCCCAGGTGATTCTAGAAGCAACTAGGACTGTGAAACAGTACTTTAAATCTTCCAACAAAGAAACAACAACTACTCAAATACCTCCCCAACTGATCTCACTCGCTCCACCATTCCCCATACTCTCCGCACATATCCATCCAAAGGATGCTCTAAGGAAATGGGAACTGTCTGTCCAAGAACCTCCCAAGTAATAGAGCTGCTAGGAGCACAGGAACCAGTCCTTGGGTTGCTTGGGAGATGAGCTTGCTTGGGGCAGGAGTCACAATGCTGTGACATAATGCTGTGGGGGTGGGCCACGTGGTTAGAGCACAGGTTCTTCCTTCTCCAACCCATAGACGAAGTTCAAAGTCAATTTGATGCCATTGCCAAGGGTAACAACTTGCGTCTTCCATCTCAATACATCCTTTCCTTTCTCCCAAACCATCTTCCCCTGCCCCTCCCCATGCTGCAAAATGTCTAGCCGTATGCTTACTAAAGACGCCCATAGCTAACTAGCCCAACCCCAAATGCTCTCCTAGTGTTACTGTTGACATTTGTGTAATAGGATTTCGTCTTTGTCATCCTCTTTTTTCCTTTTAGGGCATACTTTGATGAGTGAATGAACTCATTTCTCAGAACAAAACAAGCATGAGGAGGGGAAACAGTGATTCTTCTGTTTAGTGAGCTGCGGAAGTACTAGAGTCTCACAGACGGTGACCGAGTTACTGAAGACGCTATTTCATGCCATGTGTTCCACGGGAGCTGATGTGACAGCTGCATAGTGTGTGTCATTTCCCAAGGCTCCTGCTCTCACTGTCTCAATTGCTGTTCCAGCATTCACCGTGGAGACCCTTGTCCCAGGGCACTTGTCCTCATTTACAGAATCCTCAGGAAGTCAAGATGATGACTGTCAGCCTGGTACCATGTCCAACAGTCTTCACCTGTTCTCATAACCCTGGAGGTAATCAGTGTTTGATATATGCACCTCGTGGGTAGCAGTATATTTTTCTGTTCTGTCTGTCAATAAACTTCTCTGAGTTCTTATGGTCTAGGTTGATAAAGTTCACGTGTCACCACGGAGCAGGTGCTAAGTAGTCAGATGACAGCTGTTGATCTGTTAAAATTGAGCAATGAAAGAATGCAAGAGAATGCTATGGCACACGATCTACCCTGAGTATCTAGAAAATCAAATATTTTAGTGCCTGCCTTGTGGCACATACTGGATGTGAACCCCCTCACACATGCACACACAGGATGTCTGTCCTTATGCATATCAGACTGTCCATATCTGTATGTGTGTCCCATTAAAGGAATTGGTCCTTGTCCTCTTTATCTGTCTCTATTACTATCTCTTCATTGCCTATCCCATCACTTTTAAGTAGTCGTTGAGTATTAAGGAGGAGGGAAAACAAAAGGACGACCTTTGGAAAGGTGGTTTGTAAGAGTTTCTGTATGATAAAGTCCAGTGATTTTTAAACCTAAAGCCCTCTTGGTGTATAAAGGTCTTATTCAGGAATGCTGAAATCCTACATGTAGATCTGCAACACATATTTACCTGAACTCCTTGAAATTCCAGTTTGAATTGACTAAACAATAGCAGCGTTATACCTCAGCTGGGTCCTTGTAGAAAGGCAAACAGAAAAATTTCGCCACCCCAACATAGTCACTTTAAATCTGACCCATACTGATCCTTCATCTCACAACTGAGCCATCACAATGGAAAACGGGGAAGATACCCTTTTCATTTTCGTTTTGTTTTGCTTTTCTGAGAGAATGAGCTGTGTCCTTCAAAGGTGTAAGGAAGAAATAGTAAATTCTCCCTCTCCCTGACCTCATTCAAGGAAAGAACAAAACTCTCACGAAAGCCCACTTAACGTTTTACAAAGACACAAGCACAAAACAGGCGGATGGACAAGTGGACTGGGCTGGAAATTTTGCCCTGTGTGAGCTCAGCTCTGGCGCTCCAGTCCCACCTCAGCTGGCATCCTCGGAAGCCAGTGGAGATGGAACGCCCCAGCCAAGACTTGGCACAGTGGCATCAAATGACCACGCTGACGGTCATGCTCTGGCCATGTGGCGCAATCTTGCGAGGCCAGGCCAGCAACAGCTTTCTCAGCTCCTCGCGGAAGCTGTCGTGCAGCCAGGCATAGATGAATGGGTTGTAGCAGGCTGAACTCATGGCGAGCCAGTGACAGAGCAGCTGCACCAGCCCGAAGGCGTAGGGGTCGATGGCGCGCGGGTCGAGGTCTCGCAGCAGGTTGAAGATGTGCAGCGGCAGCCAGCAGACCGCGAACACCACCACCACCACCACCAGCAAGCAGAAAGTGCGGCGGCGCCGCGCGCGATCCCAGTCGGCCTGGCTCTGGGTCACGCAGCCCGGCACCACGCGGTTTCTAAGCTTCACCGACACCCGGACATAAGACAAGAGGATGACCAGCAGGGGGAGCAGGTAGGTGACGAGCAGCAGTCCCCAGGCGTAGAGCTGGCGCTGGCGTTCCTGGGAGCCCCAGAACTCCTCACAGAGGCGCACGTCGTGTGGCTTGAGCTCGACGTGGTAGGTGTGCACGGCCGCGGGCAGCGCCAGCACCGCGGACAGCGCCCAGATGGCCAGTACGGCGTAAGCGCTGAGGCGCAGCGAGATGCGCCTGCGCAGCGGGTGCACCAGCACGACGTAACGGTCCACCGCGATGGTGGTGAGAGTGAACACCGACACATAGACGGTGACCGGCTGCAGGAAGAAGACCAGGTGGCACAGGCCGCCGCCGAACACCCAGCCGCGCGGCTCGAAGGCGTAGGCCAGGGTGAGCGGCACGCAGGCGGCGCACATGAGCACATCGGACAAGGCCAGGTTGCCGATGAGGAAGTTGGTCACGTTGTGCAGCCGGCGCACCCGTGCGATCACCAGCACCAGCAGGCAGTTGCCCACCAGCCCCACGACCACCACGACGCTGTAGAGCAGAACGATCAGCCCCTTGAGCTGGTGCACCAGCTGCAGGCTCTGGAAGGGCGTGGCGGCCTGAGCGCCCGGGCTGGCCGCCGACCCATTGGCCGCTGAGGCCTCTCCACTCTGGTTGGCCGGAGTTGTAACTGCGGGCGGCAGCTCCGAAAATAAGTCAGGGACCGCGGGGTCCCGAGTGGGCCGTGAGGCCATGGCTGCCTGTCCAAAGACAATCAAAGTCTGTCACTTCCTATTCTCCATCCTCCCCTCCCATAGCAGCCTCACCCCCTACCCCCAAGCACTGAAGTCCTCCCTTTGGAATAGCTGGCCACAGCGCAAAAGTAAATGCATTAAAAGTGCTGTCCCCCTACTGCTTTAAAACAAACAGGAGCTTGGTTAGACATGCGCCAGTTATTTAAACGTCTCTCCTACTCCACTGACAACCGTCGCGGTTCATGCAGGTCAGACCGGGGGCGCAGTCCTACCTGTGAGTGGGGCTTGGCAGGCGGGAAAGCACTCTGGGACCGGAGGGGCAGAATTTCTGCTGCACCTAGCGATCCTCCTCCTGCGACGGCTGCACAGGCTTCTCGCTTCTCTGCGGAGCTGAACTGATCCAGGGGTTCCCAGTGGGCTAGCAGCTTTTGAGATAGGTTGGGAGCGCCTCCCCTGCGCCCCGCCCCCCACTCCAGAGCTCCCTTGTATGGAAGATGGGGGCGGAGCGTGCACTGCCCGACTAGGTGCCTGGAGAATTAGCAAGGAGGACATCGTGGGGAGGATGGAAACTAGCAACGGGAGGAGGGGCCGGCCAGCCAGGGCCAGAGTGTCCAGGAGGACTCTCTACTGCGGGAGCTTGCAGCGCCTCTGGAGAGTCCCGCCCCGGGGAAGCGTGCAAAAACGAAGGCAGAGGAGGGGCATGAAACGTCAGGCTGTCGGGACGACCTGGTGCAATCCCAAGAGGGAAGGAGCAGGGGAGGACTCGGGGTGAGAGATTGGGATGCACCACGGGGCGCGTGGGAGAGACGTGATGGCCCGATCTCTAAGTGCTGGATCCAGCTAGCGTTCTGCTGCGGCTGACAGAGTCCCGGCAGGAATTCAGAATGCAGAGCTCGAGCTCATCACGAACCTTTCGGACCTCGCCCTCACGCGGACCCTCTGAGCCCTTTGCCTAAGCAACGGGCCGTCCGGCGGCACGAGTCAGATGACGGTTGGACACCGTGGACAGCTCCTGATGGCCTGGCGCGCTCCGCGTCGGGGAGGAGGGCGTGGCCTAGAAGCATAGGAGCCTGGACCTGGAGGGAGGGGGAAGGGGTCGGGACGCAGGAAGGTTGGTGACTTGTGCTGCTGTTAAGGTCACTGCAGGTAGGGCCAAGAACGATGTCATCTTACCTTCCTGGGTCAGAAAACGCAGCCCTCTGCCCCTTACCCTACACAGGCATATTTCAGTGCTTCAGCCCACAGCCCCTTACAGTGTCTCTCTCGCTCTCTCTCAATCTCTCTCATCTGCCATGACCTACCCTGTACCTCCTGCTCTCCAATACAGAAAGTTAAGTTCCTAGACTGGGACTCTACCCTCGCCCTCCTTGAATATACACGTACTGGCCTCCTAACATAATTTTAGGATTTTTTTAAAAGTGAGTTTTGCTATAGGGCACGTGCGCTTGCCAGAGAGACAGAAAACGAGAAATGGCCACCCAAGGGGGATGGCCATGCCACAATCCCCTCCTTCATTCTCTCAGAATTTTGACTCCTCTTGGGATTGGGGGCATATGCACACACGTGCCCAGCGTGAGTTTCAAGCCCGGGTCCAGGACTCCAACCAAGCTTGACCACGTGGGTCACCTTAACGACTAGGCCACCTGGTGCCCCCAGGATTTTTTTAAAATGTTCTAATAAGAAGATTATGATAATAATAAAAAATAAAAAAATTTTAAAGAATAAAAAAGTTTTAATACTAATAACTATAAATTTCAGTTAGGATAATGAAGTAACAAACATTTGAGAAACTTAAAAGTTGTATTAAATCTTTCCTGTGAAGTAGCTATTGAAAGGCAAATTCACCTGGCACAAGAAGAGGACTGAGAGCTGGGGAGGGGAGCTTTGTAATCCCCTTCCTCAAAGGCTATCTCTTCCCCTTTCATTTCCCTTTTCCAGAGAATGGAGCTTCGTTGTCCCCTCTTTGGTAAGTCTTTGTACTTTGTCTTCTGTGGTTACCAATATCCCAGTTAGACTGGAAAGAAGTAGCAAATTATTCAACCCTCCAAATTCAAATGAGTCACCCATACAGGAGGAACAGTCAACATTGGAATAAAAGCAATCCACTTTATGCATCTGTAACCATCTTAAACCCACACGCCCTGAGATATAATCAAATTGGCTATAACCAGTATATCAAAAAAAACAAACAAAACCTACCAAGTTCTGGATAAGATATAATCTGAGCCTACCTAATCTGTTACCCAGTAATTTATCTCATCATGTTCACCAGCAGGGTTGTGTGTACAGAAGAACAGAGGCACTCTTTTGTTTCAAAATACGTTTTCATATGGTTGACCATGGTTCAAGTCCTGGACCTAGTGACTCACTTTCCCTTTCTCTCTCTCTCTCTCTCTCTCTCTGGTCAAATAAAAAATAAAAAACGATGATGATAAATAACTTTTTAAAATCTTGTTTTAAAGAACTATTTATTTATTTTTTATTATTTTTAAATTTGCTACAGGGCACATGCACTCACCAGAGAGAGACAGAAAGAGAGGAAAAGAGAGAGGGAAATTGAGAAAGCAAGCCACCAGGTCTGGAAATTGAACTGCAGTCAGTCATGTGGAAGTCCAGAGCCTTAACCACCACACTACCTGCTGGCCCTGCTTCAAAATATCTTTTATTTTATTTTATTTTATTTTATTTATTCATTTATTTTAGGTTGACCTGAGAGTTGATTGAGAGAGAAAGGGAAAGTGAGAAAGCAAGCCACCAGGTCCAGGACTTGAACCATGGTCAGCCATGTGGGAGTGTCCAGGGCCTTAAACACTAAAATATCTTAACCAGGGAAATTTGTAGTTAGATGAAAAGGGATTTGGGTTATTGTTAGGCCTCATAACTAGAATCCTCACTCTGATCAATATCACTGATATGTAAAAGTAAGAATAAGAAAACAATCTTGTTAACAAAAAACTAGAAGCTATGCAAATTTGAATGTTAGATATTGGGACATCCTCTAGAGAAGAGAGTTGTTCATTCATCCAGTTCCAGATCAAGTTTAGTAAGAATTTTTGTGTTATCGATATTTGCAATGTGGAAAGGAAATGAATATCTTGGTATAGAAGAGCCAGTTTAGATCTTTATTCCATCTGGTCTTTGGTGGACTTAAAGCTAGTCCCCCTCTCAGCCAATACATTAGATTAAACCATACTAATGTTCAGACTTTCCTACACTACTGGTGCTCTAGATGCCTGAGAGATAAGAGGTAAACAAAAATTCTTTAGGACAAATAAAGAAAAGGTAATATTTGACACAGTACATAGTAAGCTAAGGACTGTTGTTACCTCCCATTCTCCAACAGTCTTCAATAGCCCATCAAACTAAAGGAGCCCATCAAACCGTATATAACATGGCATCCAACCAGCATGCAAGACCACGCTGACTCTCTCTCTCTGGCTCTGGTTTCCTACTTCTATCCATTTCACTCCCTCTACTCAGGTCTCACTTTGTTGGATGCTCGCATATCCTCACCATTCCAGTCCAATACCTCTCCTAGGGTTTATTTTCTTTCTCCAGAATGTCAGTTGCTTCATCCCTACTCAACTCTACACGTTCATATTCTTCATGTCCTATAAGACTTAACTTAAAGATTATGCTGTCCTCGAAGAGTTTTCCCTTTCATAATCTTCAACTTAAACATGCCTATCAGATACTCAATATATTTCTTTTGATTGAATGAATAAAAAGCTACCATTTATTGATGGCTGTATGTATGCCAGGCACTATATTAAGTACTTCATATACATTCTTTCACTTGATCCCCCTCAAAAATAATCATATCCATTTTTCAAATGAGGAAACTGATTTTTCAAAGCTAAATAACTAACCATAATGCCACAGCTAATAAGCAGGGGCAAGAATCAACTTAGATCTACCTGAATCTGGAGTCAAACTGCCTATCTATAACATTTTACTGTCTATAAATGAAATACAAGGTTCAAATGGGATTGCATAAATACAGAGACCCTCTCCAATGGTTTACTTAAGGGAGCTCTAGAAATTTCAGTTATGACCCTAACCTTACCATGTTTAAGTTAAATAGATCTGTATGCCTCACCCAAAATGTCCATTGCTTCTATCCCATGTAGAATACAAAACCTTGGGCCATATGAACTTCAGAATATTATCTTTGCTAATGACGAAATAGGTGATATGAAAAGCAGAAGACAGAGACGACAGAAGTAAGGACTGCAGACAGGGATCCAGGGAACTTGATCATAGGGCCTGAAGAATGTATGCTAGCTAGGCCCATGCTGATAACTGTAGTTAGCCCAAACATAGGGGAAACCGTTAGAGATAGTTTTATTTTACTAGTGGAAAGACAGTAATTGTTTGAAACATGTCTAAGCCCAGGCAATAGCATGTCAGAAGCTCCTACAGAAGTGAGGTTTTGTTTTTGTTTGTTTGTTTGTTTGCATTATTTATTTATTTATTATAATTTTAATTTGCTACAGGGCACATGCACTCACAAGAAAGAGACAGAGAGAGAGAGAGAGAGAAAGCAAAGGTCCAGGACTTGAACCATGATCAGTCATGTGGGAGTCCAGTGCCTTGACCACCACTCTGTGTGTTAGCTCCCAGAAGTGAGTTTTGTCTTCTAAGCCAGTCACCTGTGAGTTCCAAAAGCTAGGCATGTCCTTGACTCCCGAGGCTGAGCCATGCACCAGTTCTGGTCACCACCCTAGCTCACTGCCTGGCCATGACAGGGCTGGTCATCTAGGGCAGAGAGCAGCCTGTGATAGACAGTATGAGAACTGGCATGATGGCTCATACACTTTGCCCTCAAAGAGCTCACCGACTAGCCCAGAATTTTCCAGAAACAGAGTTGGCTAGCCAAAGGGACTATGGAAATGATTCAGGGTGCTACTAATCTAGCAACCCAATCTTAATACTGATAAGCCCCAGGCTTCAATAAATTAACAATTTCTGAAGCTCTTGATTTCCAATACTTCTCAAACTTACACATCTCATAACTGTTTCTTTCAATAACTCATTTTTTAGCTTAATAATTTGTAAATGAATTACCCACTGAACTAAAATATGACCTTGAGTTAGCCATCAGGGGATGAAGAACAGAGGGATCTCACAAGCAGTCCATACTAATTGGCACATTTGCATCAACCTGAGCAACTATTCCTACACCAACTCTGGACATGTTTCTTTATTATCCCAATATTATAGAAATAGATGCAAGAGGTATTTTCACACAAACATAAAGTTGTCCCCCCAGCATGCATTGAAAAGGTGATCACTCTGTAGAATTAAAATAAAATATAATACAAAGGGAGTTCAAAAAGATGGTGGGAAGATGGAATTAAAGTACAAGTTCCATTTTGAAATCCATGTATTGTGTTTCATAATACATTTTCTATTAATTCTTTTGGAATACCCCCTTATTTAAAAAACTTCTCTAAGCAAAGCTGTGTCATAGGAGAACTAGTGATTTCAGGGAAAAGAGAGAAATGAAGACTTTCTACTGATAATTCAGCCTCCAGCCTACAAACTTGAGTGGTAGGGGAGCACCTCTAGCCTTCTCTCTGTCTCTCTCTCTGTCTCTGTCTGCCTCTGTCTCCGTCTTCTCATTTTTTTAATCTTTCCTTTATAAAATTGTTTAAGGTAAAGTATTTTCTCAGCTTTCAACCCCGCCTTTATCTTGTTAATAATCCCCTTTCCCCCTCCCACCCAGAAAAAGCAAGGGGCAGGCCTTCAGAAGATTTCTCCATGGCTACAGAGAACTAGTGATTTCATGCAGCATGCTCACACGCCGCTTGGTTTCCTATTTTTCGCTTTTAATAAAAAAAATTTTTTTGGTTATTTTTTTCTTTGTCTCCCTGTTTCTTTGTTGTTGTTGTTGTTGTTATTTCTCTCTCTCTGTTTCCTTTTCTTTTTCTTTTATCTCATCACTCTGGTCCTCAGTCTCCATTCACTGTGTCTCTAGATGGATCTAAGGGAACCATAGCCAAACATCCAAATACTATTAGGGTTGGGGACCAGCAGTTAGCGTAATGGCTATGTCGCTGGACTCCCATGTAGTCGACTGTGGTTCACGTCCTGGACCCGGTGCTTAAAACTCACGCTGGGTGTGTGTACATGAGTGCCCAAGATCCTGAGAGGAGAACAGAGGAGAAGGGATTGTGGCGTGGCCATCCCCCGGGGGGTGATTTCTCACCTTCTGTCTCTCTGTCTCTCTTTGTCTTTCTGGTGAGCGCACGCACCCTATAGCAAAAAACTAGGGTTAGCAAGCTCCTCAATATCCACTGAATCTGCTGCACAAAGGGATAAAAACGGAATGGCAAAGAGATACCACATCACCTCCTTCTGCACACCCCTGAATGCTCAGATTGAACTTCAAGAATTAGGAAGAAACACATCATCCATCAGATGACTAGAAATCACCGCAGGGCCACAGAAATATGAGAAAGCAAGAAAATACCTCTCCTTCAAGGGAAAAGAATAACTCTTCATCCACAGACAGTTCAATGGAGATCACAGAAATGTCTGATAAAAAATTTAGAATATTCATAAGGACGAAACTAAAAGAGATGGAAGAGAAGAGAGACAATGAACTGCGGAAGAGGCGAGAGAAAGGAGCTGATGAGTTCCAGGAGGTGAGGAAATTCGTGCAAGATCTAAGAGAGGAATTTCACATACTTTACGGAAGAACCAGATGGAACTGTTAGAGATGAAGGCTATAATACCGGAAGTCAAAATCTCCCTTGAAAGTATTAAAAGCAGACTAGATCATACAGAAAATAGAATCTCAGA